TTTCTGACATCTTGGATTTGCATAATAACCTCCATCATCACACAGAAGAGCAGTTTTCAGTCTGGTCATTGAGGGTTTATTTCATGTACACTTCAATCCCCACAATGTTGCAAAATGTCCATTCTTCATCACCATTTGTAAAAAAAAAAAAAAAAAAAAAAAAACAATTATTCTTTGTTCATAGAAAACCAGACATGGAAATAAATTTCAGTAGATTCTTATCATCCTATGTGGCTATAAGCAAAACTGATACAGATGATTTTCAATGTTTGATGGCAATATTTAGACTGTTCACTATCTCCTGGATCGTTTAATATTGATTATTTTTAAGTAATCAATTGATTGGATCATTATCAACCTGACTGTGGAAAAACAGTCAGCAAGAAATCTCCACAGATACATTTGATCTTTCATGGTTTCTTCTCCATAAATTGCACAATTTTTTTTTCTTGAGTCAGTCATATTTTTTCCTTAAAGTAAATAAAATAAAATTTAATATGTCCTCCTGCAGTTATTAAAAACAGCAAAACACATGAAATTCAAATGAAGTGATACCTACCTAATGTTTTAATTGTTTTTACTGAAATTAAAATTAAATGTACAATACAGTTAAATATAAATTTCTAATAAAGCAAATAGGGTTGCTTAAACAAGAGTCATTGGCAATAAATACAAAATATAAGAAGAAATGTATTAGCTTTAGACAAGCCTTTATCTATTCTGAACTATGAAAACAGGTTTAAAACTATTGAGTCATTTAAAATTGTTGCATATGTCAGAATAGACATTTCTAAAGTGAGATAGATCAGTGACAAGTTTTTGCATGATACAAGGAATCAAGGAGTTAAAAATTATATTCTATTTTCATACAATAGATTGGTTTAAACTTAAATTTTAGTTTTCTAATTTGGGAAGATTTGTTACCTTAGAAGCAAATTAAAAGCTAAATACAATAAATGGAGGGAAAAAAATAGCATCAGAATCAGTCTTTATATTAATTTTTTTTCAACTGAATTACACTGTAATTCAAACGAAAAAAAAAAAAAAAAAAAACTATGAAATTGGCACCATATGGAGAAATAAAAGCAGCTATCAGTTAAGAAGAGATTTGAAAAAAAAAAAAAAAAAAGAAAAGTCAAATAACAAATTTTCCAATTGTTAAGAAAAAATAGCTTGAAAACATTAAATTTCAGTAAACAAAAATACTGTGGAAATGAAATATTTATTGACACCATAATGAAATCTAAATCCATTTTTGCTTTACTTAATAAATAAGTGCATCCAGGTAAATAGGATACAAACCGGATTGAAATTTGATATCGGTTCGATAAACAAAGATGAAAGAGAAAAAAAAAAAAAGAACAAAAATTCATTCTGTGCTGATAAATCTCCCAGTTGCAAGCCAGTTATTCATTTAACTTACATTAACCATTGATTGTACGAAATGAATGGCTGGCTTTCATTTATAGATGCACAAAGTATCAAAGTAGAGAAAGCAATAGAAATTCTTAAGAAAAAAAAATTCAACTGAAATAAAAACATTCCAAGTTGTCAAATGTGTGGTTATAATAAAACCAGTTTAACAAGATTCAAACAGATGTTATGATAGTGTGTAAAAAAAACTAGAAAATTCTCGAATAATAACTAAATGAGCTTTAAGGTTTTCAATAAGGTTTTAAATATCTGTTTGCTAAAAAAATAGTTTGCAAAACAAAACATGCCATCTGCTGACAATTTAAGTAATGATGAATTCTAAGTTAGATGGTATTACAGTGACCTGTGCACAGACAGAGTAAAGAAAATATACCTGACTGATAGTATTATTTTTAAATTGAATCAATTTTTAAAGAAACATCCTTCACTGAATGACATTTATGCTCTTATGACTGCGTGCTAAAATGTATCTTTTTGGTAATAATAGTTAACTTCAACTCAATAAAAAAAATTATATATATATATATATATATATAGTACAAATAAATCCATTAGGTTTTTAATTTATTTCAAATATTTTTAAAAAGATCTCAATTTTATAAAAATTGGGTCAGTTAAATGCAAGACCTTCCATTTAATGATGTCATGAGATTGTAGAGTTGCCTTGGTAACTACTAAATCTCCTTGATATTGAATAATTGGTTTGCTAAATTAAAATTAAATAAAAATAAAGAGAGTGTAAAAGTTATTTTTGTTGAAGGTTCCCCTCATAAATATCAAGGTTACATATATACCGATGTAAAAGCGATCAAGATAGATAGTAATTTTATGAATAATGTACTACTAAAAACAGGTGCAAGGTGGTTGCAGCAGCAGCAGCAGAGAGAAACAGCGTAACAACAGCTGGTTTGGTGGCCGTCACTTCTTTTGATTTAACTAAGGAGAAGAAAATAAAAGCCAAAAGAAGAGGCGGAAGTGATATGCTATCATCGACTGGATTATTATTATTAGACATGACGTAAACTTTGGTGGTGTGTATGAACGTTCAACTGACATCGTTGTCGACCAATATCAAGACTTCCAAATGGTACCAACAAAAAACCACCAGCAGAAGAAACAATCGACAATTTCTACTGCAGACTAATGAGCCGGCGGTCGATTTCAGAATTGATAAAATACCGAAAGACATTTTGGAGAGAAAGAGATATAGAGACTACAGCACTTTTTTTTCTTTTTTAATTCTATTAAAAAAAAAATCACTAGGGAATAATACACGTGCATGTACTATAAATAATGATATTATTAATTATAGTCAACATTATTGACGAGGATCTATTCAGAAAGGTGTGGAACGGGAGTGGGAATAATTTGACAAAATATTTTTATTTTAATAAGAAACTCCCATGATAAATCTGTTCAAATCGATTCAGTGTAAACAAGCAGCAGCGCTTACAAACAGCAAATTTATTGAGAGGAAATAATTTGGCAACGGCTGGAGGGGGGGGGGTCTCAACAAAACATTAATGATTTATGCTAATATCCCAGCTTTTCACCTTGTCCTTACACTGTTTTTTGAGGGCAGCAAGAAATGTAGGAAACATCTGGTAATAATATAAATGACCTTTAAATTGCAAAAAAGAGCACAAGTTAGATATTAGAAAAATAATTCTTATTGGAAAAGAAAGACTCAACAAATTGGCATTTGTTCTTTCAGAGCAAAGGTTTTTTGTTCTTTTTAATGTATTTGATGTTGAGAGAAACAGAAGAAAAAAAGAGAAACTGTTTCCACCCAGATGCACATATAAAAATTAAAAAAAAAAATAAAATAAAAAAGTTTTCTTTTGTTTTTTGATCAAATATGAATCAAAAGCGGAGGAGGGAAGTAATCAGGTAGTAATAAAAAGGAAATTTAGCAAACTAAATCGGAAACAAAGAAGAAAAAAGGCTCAAGAAGAGCCTTTTTTCTAGGAATATATTCTTCTTTTTAGTGTTGGACGACAATCACTTGGGTGTGTTTGTGTGTGTGTGAAAATGATCGCTAGACATGTCACAAAAATAGTTACACGTAAGCAACGAAATGTTAAAAGTTACACATTTTCGAATTATAAAATAAAATATTTAATTTTTTTTTATACAAAAATAGTAAGTGTTTTTTTTTTATTTGTATTTAGTTGCCATTTCCTCCACGTACTCATAAAAAAATCCTTTATTCATTTTACTATGATTAAACTTAAATATTGGCATTTAAAGTTTAAACACTAACATCCATTGCTAATGAAATCATTCTATGAACAGACAGACCCACTTACGGAATTAACTAACCGACAACGAGTGAATTGCTCTTCAAAAAAAGGAAAACAAAATTCTTAAGAAAATGCGTTTTAATTGCTTATTAAAAATATATTTTCCATTTGAAAATTTAACTAAAAAAGCACACAATATGAACAAACAAAAAAATGACTGCGTAGTTTACTTAGACATTTAGGAGGAAAGTAAGACCACCTCATTAGCTACAAACTAATCAATAATGGATCTTTTTGAAGAAATAGTTAAAGTTTTTAGAATTCTGAATCGAAATATATTTTAAAACGTTTTTTTTTTTTATTTAATTCAAATGTTTTTTTTATTTTTTAAAAAATCTTGTATTTCATGAGTGATGACAAAAAAAATATGCAAACTATTTTTTTTTTTTTTTAGGAAAAAAGGTTTATCCAAAGAAATTCAATTAATAAAAAAAAAAAAAAATACTGCTACAAACATAAATGATTTTTTGTTTTTATTTTTACATAATTTAATTAACAATATGAATTCTACTATTTTTTTCTATCATGGACCTCAACAGTTGATTAAAAAAATTGGTGGTCAATGAAATAAAAATTAAAAATCTTTACTGCTAATATATATATATATATATATATTTACACATAAAAAGTGGCTCTAGAAAAAGACAAATATTAATAGATATTTCAACTTTGGTTTCATTTTTGAAAGACCGACTCCTAGTCATTGACACAACACACAGGTGGCCATAAAATGGGTGATCATTATACAAGTGAACAATATTGTAAAATGATCACCGACTTTAGCATCGTAACATATTGTTTCCTTTAAAAGCAAATGATCAAGTCTTCAACTTCTCATTTTAATCATAATTTTATCTTTTCTTGAAAAATAAGAAAAGAATAGCTTGAAAAGTATCGATTCAGGATTCAACTGATAAAGAATCAATGTATTTTTTAAAAGATTTAATTAATTAATCACCGTGTACAGTCTCTCTTTAGCCATAGTGAAATCAGAAAAGTCGCCATAATAAAACCTATGAAGGGTCCTAACGCGACACGTACTTGGACGTAAATGGGTGGGGCTTTCACTCATCTGACTTCGTTACAGTTATTTTATTAGAGAAAGGTAATGTAGCAAGATGAAAGTCGAAGATAAAATGTTTAAAATCCACTGAAATAAAGTCAAAACGGGCAGAACAGTGAATGTCCCTGTGACGATAAGCTTGCCATCACACGTAACCTAACAACTACTGATAATAATAGTAAACATTTATTTCCACTTACCGCGAATGGATTAGCAGCCTCCGGGTCTGCAAAAGGGTTACTGTCAAATCCCGACATTTTGGAAGGTTCCGATAGATCGCTAAACTTGTTCCACAAGTGTAAAATTAGCGAAAAACGGTCTTTAAAAAAAAAATTAGAAAGCTGTTGCCTCCTACGATTCTAATACAAGTGTAGGAGGTTTCCGAAGATGGCGACTTTAGGCTTCTTTCACATTCACGCATGCGCAGTGTGCAGATAGCTATTGACACGAAACGATTATAATAAAAGCGTTATGCATACGACAAGCACTCTTTTTTATTTTTCCTTATCACCACGAGCTTCCAATATGCAGAGAGATATACTATTTACACGGCACTGCAAAGGTGACTGGCTGTTGAGTGGTCTTCTATCATTCTCGCAAATTCTCGGTAGATTTTAAAATATTATAATAATTTTTATATTTATTTCTCGATAGTTTTATTATTTTTGCCTATGATCAATTCGAGATTTTTAATTATATCAATAAATTATGTAATGTAATGAAACTATGTTGTATCTGCTTGCACTGCCAAATCGAAAAATAGTTTGAATTGCGTCCCTTTAAGCTTATCTAACAATAAGGAAGCAAGACTATATTGTTACCATATGGCATATACATATTTTTTTTTTATAATAGTTTCATTTTAAGATATAATAAATTGATAATATCTGGCTTGTATAATATTTTTATTCATAAAAATTTATTTTTCATTTTTTAAAAAATGTTTGGATTTTAATCTTACACACTAATTTTAATACTAAATGACTTTTTAACAGATTACCTAAATGATATAAAAAGAAAAATTATTCATCATATTTAAAGTTTATAATACTGAGTCATTCAGGTAGTTCACTGGAAATTTCCTAAAATCTAGACAATACCAGGTAACCTAAATAATTAAAAAGAAAAATTAAAATGATTTTTAATTGGTAGAAGCAATAACAGATGATAAAAATATTTTTTATATCTAGATGTAAGGATTAATATTAAGAAAACTAACAAGCCATTACTACTATACATAGAGAGTATAATCCACACTGAGTGCCTAACACTTGTGTTGCACTAAGCTAAACGTAGTAAATAGAACTATAGTCATCTGCACTTTTAATACAAGTGACGTTAATTGAAATGAATCGGTAATCTTGTAAAAATCTCTTCACATTTTATAAGCTTAATTTAGTTTGGTACAAGGCCATGAATATAAGGGCACTCTTTAAGGAGCCAATTCCCAATAGCAGTAATAATCAGTAAAACCAGTTTTCTAACAACTGTTTTATACCCATATATCAAGAAATGAATTTTATATATTAAAAAGAATTTTAGTAAAACAAATGAATTTTGAATTTACAATTAACCATCTTTTTAATTCTTTTTTTTTTTTTTCAAATCAATAAATTTTTTAAATAAAAAGATCAGGCTGACCTCAGAGATTTCAATTATTTTCTTACAGAACTATTTTTTAAGTATTTTCCTGGAAATCAAATAAATGATATAAATAAAGGATTTTTATCTTTGTGCTGTTATTGATAATAGGAATTTTGTCCATATTTATTTCTGTTTCACAAGAATAGGAGAAACTGATTAAATTCTATAAGTATCATTAATGAAACAAGAAAAAATGAATGTATTAAAAATAGAAAAGACAACAAAATTATTAAGAAGTTTAAAGAATGTAAACAGAATTAGGCTTTCAAAATAATAATGTCATTCATAAGAAATACAAATAGTATGAATACTAAGGATAGTTACTTGATAAAAAGAAAAGAAAAGAAAATGATTAAAGGTAAAAAGAAATAATTCTGTAAATTATTATTACAAAGTATATAGGCATGAAAAGAAAAGATAAATGTCTTTTATGAAGCCATATTTGTATATCTTTTTTCTTTTATTATTTATTCGAACAAGTTTTTTTATTTCCCCCATTACTATTATCATATCCTCTTCTTCTCCCAAATGTTTTCATTTTTCTTTTCTGTTTTCATTTTTCTTTTTCTTTTCTGTTTTCATTTTTCTTTTATTTCCATGCTTTTCCTTAAACATAATTTATCAATCTCATGAAGAAACTGTAAAGATATGTCTTTAAAAGAGCTTTGTTTGAAATTAGAATTATTTAACTCTCTTCTGATTTTCAGCTTTTATAAGCCGTCATCCATTTTTGATAGTTTGCTTTGTCTGTAGGAGGAGAAGGGATTTAAAGATCATGGCCAATGACTGGATAAAAAAAAAATAATTTAAATCTACTAGTCTTATAAGTTGCTAAGCAACCCCAAGTGAAAAAATGTAAAATGAAAATTGCTTTTTTTCCATGCATTCATTTAAATTCTTAAAACCCTAGCTATTGTAGAATTACTCAACTAAAATATTTTATGCTTTTAATGTTATTTCTGAACTATGGCTAATTTTTATTAGATGTTTCTGTTGTTTTTTTAAAGGACAATTTTTGAACAGCTATGATTACCATTAATTTTTCCTAAACCCAAGCTGTATGATGTAAACTTTCAGCTTCCTAACAACTATATATCTTTACTCAATAGCAAAAAGTCAAAAGGTAAAATTAATCTGGTGACTGGATATCCTTCTCCCAGACAGCATCTCCCTATTTCATTAAAATGTTGAGGCAAAGGTATAGGGGAGTTTAGGGATTAAACCAATGGGAAAAAAGACTTTGTGTCATATTTTGCATTCTGTAGGTATGCAAAATAAATATGAACACCCTCCTATCCATAATACTTGGTTATTTCCCAGTTTCATTTTTTGCAAAAAGTGTTTCTTGTTGGCTAACAAATAGAAATATTATATTTATTAATATACATACACACATATGTGCATACACATACATACACTCACATATATAAACCCACATCCATGTATATACAAATAAAGACAAATACACACAGGCACACATATATATAAACAATCAAAGATACACTTTGTATATCTTTTCGTTTTTATTTGGTTCACATGTGGAAACACAAAAAGTTTTATTATTAAATATAATATCTTTGATATCACTTTTAAATAGGGAGCAGACATGGATATTTACTATTAATATATATATATATATATATATATATATATATATATATAAATATAGTCATCTACAGACAGACTGTTTCGCTGTATCACAGCTCATCAGTTTAGCTAGGCATGTGATTGCTCCAAGCTGGGATCAAAACCCGACTTTGATATCAGTTGGAGACTCTAACCCCCAGCCCATCAGTGCATGCTAGGAAGAAAAGGAATTTTTAACACATTATATACAAGATATATGTATTACTGGCTACCAGAGGGCTCAATTCATATTGAAGAGCTTAGCTTTAAACAGCAGCAGCAGGCAACAAATTATATATATATATATATATATATATATATATATATATTCATACATCTTTCATTAAATAATATAGACAAGTGTTGTCTATTTATTTTATGTAAATTCTTTTCATAACGTCTGATAAGCTTAATAACATTATCATTAAACAAAGAAAGAAAATCACAATATTGATACATATTTTTTAATCCAATCTAAGCTTTTGGCTTACATAAAGCCATTATCAAAGATGACAATTACATTACAATATATTAAGCAATACATGGACAAGAATGTGATGATAGGTCTGTTTCTGTTTACATGGATGATTTCCAAGCAACGATAAACATGTGCATATATGACGCTGGAAGCGAAAATCCCACCGCAGTTCATGACGTCACACATGACCACACAAGAGTGAATTCAAGAAGTATTAAGTATGGGAAGCCGTTGGTATAAACCAATGGCTTCTGTTACCAATTATAGACATTTAAGAATATTTGTGGAGATTTCATAGTTTATTTTGTTCAGGTTAGGTTTCAACTGTTTTATGTATATAGCTTCAAGAATTTTTAGTTTTTGTTTATTGTTGTCATGTTTAATTATAATTGTGTTTTCAACTAGGATTTTCCGGAATTAAAACCAAAGAGTAAATATTCTATTCATGCAAATCTATCCTAAAAATATTTTTGACATTAAATAACCCATTGAGGTTGATATGCCATAAAACAAAATAAACCAGACCAATCTAAACCAAAGAATACATATTCTATTCATGCAAATCTAGCCTAAAAATATTTTTGGCATTAAATAACCTATTGATGTTGATATGCCATAAAACAAAATAAACCAGACCAATCTAAACTAAAGAATACATATTCTATTCATGCAAATCTATCCTAAAAATATTTTTGGCATTAAATAACACATTGAGGTTGATATGCCGTAAAACAAAATAAACTGAACCAATAAACCGAACCAGAAGGTAGATTAAGATTTTGCTGAGAATTTGTAAAGGAATTGAAATCTGTTAAACAGAACTTTTCAATAAAAGAAAAATAGAAGTCCCAATAACATCAGTTTTTCCAAATTTATCTAAGCTCAATTTATGCAGAGACATTCTTTTTTTTTGTCTTACAATTAGGTCAGTGTAACTTTTGTATTTTCTGCCTTATCAAAATTTTGCTTTTTCTTCTCAAAGTTTTTTTCATTTTCGAAAATTGTATTGCAATCTTTCTTTAAGTTTTGATATTGCATGAAATTTTATCCAGCCTTATGTTTTGAATAAGGTGCACAAATTTACACTTGTTTGTAAAATATTTTTTTTTTTTGTTGTAATAAATGTTTGTTCTTTTAAATTTCACATAGTGTTTGAGTCTTGTTTGTGTTATGTTCAGCATTTGGAATAAGAGAGGGTGATGTGCTCTCTTTTGCCAATCTATCCCTACAAAAACAAATTTCTTATATTTTGGACAAAAAATAAGTTTTTGTAAAAAAAAATTACATTTCTTATATTCAAACCTACTGTGAAAGTCAAAGTTAACTACGGAGGATGCTAAGTGATGTAATGCGTGATAAGCAAAAGTGAGTAAATGCTCTTATTGTTGTTGAATTTTTTTATGTAATTATTATTTTAGTTTATTTTAAGAAATTAATTTATGTATTTATTTATTTTAAATAATAGAAGGTTTTGAATTTACCTGTTTTCTTTTAATTTAAAAAAATTGA